TGAGGAGCTTGACGAATCAGTCTATAGAGATGGCATTAATAGACTGGAACACCGCTATGAGAAATGTATCAGCCTTGGAGGAGATTATGTTGAGAAATAAAAAAAAAAAATTTTTAAAAACCTTGTTTTTCTTGGTCAGGCCGGAAACTTATCAATCCACCCTCGTATATTACTCATACAAATATCCGCATAAAAATTCTTTCGTGATATTAATTAATGTGCATATGACTGCAGTACAATTACAATTATTCGGAATATTCGAACGTTTCGCACCAGAAGCAAATCCGTTTTTAATTAAAACTCTGTGGATATTTCAGGAGCAGTTTCCCATTTATTACACTAAAATTGTGAAGAATTAAATTCACATCGACCGTTGAATTTGGTCCTGCTTTCGTAAAATTTGCCTTGCTTGGAAATTACCAAGAATTCCAGGCAATTAGGTAACAGTCAAATCTTGTAGCGTTCGTAAATTTTAATGACAAAAGTTTCGATTTCCACTTAATGAAAGACCAAAGTGTTTATCAAAAAATAACGCACGTGAACTATTGCTACTGGTAATATATCATAAATGCGCCGTAATTACAACTAAAATTATACTACACTCCTTTTAACACTCTAAATTATCGCTTCTGAATCAAGGGGTCGCAGCATTAACGCATTGACATCTTTAGTTTTATGCAAGTATGTCATAATTTAATTACTTAATGCAGTTGTGATTAATTATCAAATAAGTCATTTATGAAAAACACACATATATGTAGGGAGAGATATCAATATTAAAGTACTTTTAAGTATCTAAAAGAGTTCAAAGGATTTCTTAATTTATTAGCGGAAAGATGGAAACGCCAAATGGAATGAATGATTTCAAAAATTATTAAAATTAAAATACTAAATGCATAATAAGATTGCAATTATTATTTAATGGGAGTTACAAAAAAAAAACTTTTGGGTGTTTCATTCCCACCAGCCAGTAATGCTGGTGGGCGGGCAGTCCCTCCGGACTACGCCGGAAGGTAGGGCGGAAGGCCCTCTTCAGCCTCCTTTCAGGAATCGTGAGAATGGGTGGATGCTGGTTCGGGTTAGAAAGATGAGACGGACGAAATGAAGACAGAAGAGAATGAAAGATTATCTGTGGAATATTACTGCCTCAGCATTTGCCTAAGTGATCCAAGGAAACCACAGAAAAACTTGAACCAAGGCAGACGGACCCGGAATCGAACCGGCGTCCTCCCGAATGCTAATCAATGGTCTAGACCTCTAGGTCAGAGCCGGGCAAACTTTAACTTCGCAGGAGCCGCTACATGAGGTTAGTTTGAGTCACTCCATACCCTTCAATGAGTACGAGAGAGTAAGCAGTAATGAATAATTTTGTTTTGTTTTTCTTCTCCCTTCCACTCCCATATCAAGCCCCTTCATCCCGTAGACGAGCGAAGCCACTCACGCAACTTAAAAAATAGTACGTTCGCAAAACTATTGGGTTTGGCTATGGAAGAGGGGACTCATCTACGAAATGGAAGGGATAAGAAAAGGAAAGAATCATCTCACACGCACTCGCAGGATCAATGAGGATCCACTTGGTTAACCTTGAGGATCACTCGGGATGCAAAAGATCCGAGTTTGCCCGGCTCTGCTCTAGGTCTCTGGAGGGGTTGTTAAAGAGAAACCAGACTAAGACAAGTCCCTGAAAGAGGGCAGCAGCTCTTTCAGTACTTAGAGTGGCAGAGATCACGAGGATCGGTATGGCACTCTGATGCACAATACTGCGATGTGGAAGGCAACGGGAAACCACCACATTATGAT